GTCATGTATACACTAACCACCACAACCCCTTTCATTGTCGGACAAAACACATCTATTCAATCGTGGAAGGTACTTTCGAGTGAGCCTCTTGCAGTGCGCATGCACGCAACTAGAGGGAATCTTCATCTAAAAACGACACACGAAAATTCTGCATAATATCTGATGCAATAAAAGATATGGAAACTTTTAGATTGGCTTATACTCTGTGCTTGATCTGCGCTCTCTCGCCTTATCAGCGGCTCATGACCACTGTGATCTCACACATTCAAACTTTTGCCACACTGTAATTGGCTCACCCACCTCGGAGTCCCTCCCCCTACAAGGCTTAGTCCTAGGGCTCTCACCTCCTTCCTTGGGATTTGGAGCCGAGCCAGGCGCCGTTCTCTAACTGTCTGTGCTCTCCGCCATTCGTGGCAGGACCATAGAAGAAAGTTCAAGTAGTCCGTAAACCAGGTCCAACGCCTCGCAGCGCGCTCAGCAGTCCGGTCCAGCAGTGAGGTCTAATGACCTCATCAGGTTCGCTCCCACCTCCCGCCATTGTGCACTGCCTTTTGAGACCATCTCCTGACCAGACGACTTTCGCGGAGTACGAGTATTCTCCATCGTAAATTCGCACAGTGCTCAGATTTAACCGCAAATCGGATGATCTTATCACGTTGACAACAGCGCATGTTTCAGCTTTTTTTTGGAAGACTTTTAGGACGGGCGACGTGCTAGCATCACATCCGTAAATTTTGAGTGATAACTATGCGAAGCGTGAGAGCTGGTTGCAACATTTCAACACAATGGAACTCACGGATGTCGTCGTTGCAGGCATCTAACGTTTCCTTCAGCACTAAACAGTCCTCAAATCCCTGAAAAACTAGTTGGTTTCATAAACATGTGAACGTGTGAGCACAACTTAGTTTTGTAAAGAAGAACCAGACATTGGTAAAGAGCGCCTAGAGGATCTGTACTCACACAATTCATTCCCTGACCGTAGAACGGCGCCATTGCGTGTGCAGCATCACCAGCAAGAAGCACAAAATTGCCGAAATCATGGGGTCGACACTGAAAATTTTAATTCAAGCAATTCCTGTGCACTAAAACAAGCAGGATAAGTGGTCACAACAAGTTCATTTCCATCGTACATGGTACTTAGGGTAAAAAAAAGCAGGCGCCATACGATCGCATAATTTAGTGGATCCAACAAAGTAGTCTTCGGCTGACTCAAATAATGGTCAACCGTCAGCTGAGAGCTACTCTACGAAGAGTATTCCGTCAGTCGTTCCCTCTGTGCATATCACCTGAACGAAGCGGTTCGAAGGTAACACGGAGACAATGCGTGGGTTCCAGATTGAGTAAGGTGAGATTATCCATAGGTAAACTTATGGTTGGTTGACTTACCTAGAACGCTCTTAGTGCAGAGCGTATTAGGGTTTACAATTGCGTTAAGCTCCAGGAGGCCCACCCTCTTTCTGGTTTGGAACGTCATACGCCTCTCGTTCCCTTTCGACCACCTTCCAGCTCTAATAAACCTTCTCTTGTCCTACCCACAACACATGCGACCTCAAGGGAGTCCAGCGAGCGGAGGGATGCCCAGATGCTCGACAAACGGAGTTGACTGTGCATAATAGCCAAACGACTGAAATTGAGAGTAGTTTCCCGATCTTTAAAAAGTCCCTCCATAGTTACACCTTTTTTACTTGCCAAAAAATTTACTCTTCTTATCTGAGCGTACTCCATAGGTCTCCTGTACGAGGAGTTCCCCCACAAGAACGACTCACGGGCAGAGGCCACAGCTGGTCCCATCGCACTCTGGACAGAGGATGAGGTTAGGTGTGCACTTGGGAGGATGAAGGTTGGAAAGGCGGTTGGTCCGGATGGGGGAGACGGGCGTTTGTCCTCCTGGGGCCGCCGCCGCGCCGTCGCACGCGGCGATTCCACTCGCCGCGCGCGGCGATTGATGCGGCGAAGGCGATGTGACGGTTCGCTCCGCCCATCTGTGGCATTTTGCCAAGTTATCGGGCTGTCGATCGATAGACTGCTATATTTGCTGGGCTGATATTGTTTTACTGACGGATTGAAGGTGAGTTTGCTCATTCAAAACTGATTGGGATTGCTTTATATAGGTTGCATTAGTTGTCTGTAGTCAGAAACAGCAAAACTGCAACAGTGGACAATAGCTTGGACCAATACAAAACCCCCACATCGCAGAATCGCCGCACACGCGGCGAGCCCGATCGCCGCGTGCGCGGCAGCCTGACCCCAGGAGGACAAACGCTACACAGTTGTACGAGCGACTGGTTGACACGAAGCTGCGGGAGGTCCCGATCTCCAATGAACATTCCGGGTTTATGCCCAAAAGGTTCAACAACATGCCATCTTTTATCGCAATAAGTGATGGAAAAGTATCGAGAAAAAAAGCGCCGACCCTGTTACCTAGCCTTTCCTCGACCTGGAGAAGGCGTTCGATCGGCTACCGCGAGAAGTATAATACTATAGAGATCGCTCAGGGAGTGGAATGTGTCAGAATACCTGATATCTCTTTGGTGTAGGACATTTATGATATGTTAAGCGGGAGAAGCTATACGCGCCCCCGCTAACAAGGAGGTGGGCCATCATCACTTGGGGGGGGCACCAAGGATCAGCTTGGGGCCCCTTCTTGCCTCCTGACCAGATGTCCTGGTGAAGGGGCTCATGAAGGCCACGAAGAACATTACCCTACGCTTGATGGGCATCGCCTTTGATAGCGCGATAGCAGAACAGGAGTTTTCAAGTTATACGAGCAGAAGGTGGGCTACGGCTGAATGTCAAGAAGACCAAGTTCCTGAGCTCCGAAGAGGGTGCAGAGCCGATCGTGGACGGCCATGGTGAGACCATCGAAAGAGTGGAGGACTTCCGATACCTCGGGAGCGATCTGGCAGCCGACGGTAGTGTGGATCAGGCGGTGAAGGCTCGGTCAACGCTGCATGGATGAAATGGAGGGAGTCCACTGGAATCCTCTGCGATCGAAGGTGCTCCAGAACGCTCAAAGGAAAGTGTATGCTACCGGACAGTGGTAAGGCCTGCGATGAAGTGCCCCTGAACAAGAAATCACGAAAGGCAGCTTCACTCCGCTGAGATGAGGATGCTGAGATGGGCCTGCGGCTGGACGCGACTGGACAGGGTCAGAAACGAGGATGTCAGAGCGGTCATGCAGACTGCCCCTGTCCAGCTGAAGGTACGGGAACAGCGTCTGCGATGGTATGGGCACGGACAAAGCTAGAGAGAGGAAGAAGCAAGATCCGTGACAAAAGTCCATTTCGTCAAACATGGCGCTCTTCAAAAATCGCAAATACAACCTCTCTCATAGAGCATTGTTCAATGGATGGTGCCTCCAGAAAAGGGCATAAAATATCTACATTGGAAGGCACTAAATGAGGGCTGATGTGGAGACTGTTTGCTTAGATTGCAAAGCAGTGGTTCACCATGTTCGAATCTCTATCTGGCCAACCTCAGCGCTAGCAGGAGAGCTGAGGCCGCCTCCCAGGCATGCTCAGCAGACCGTTTGAATTATCCGATAGGGGAGAGTCGTATTTTGCTCATGGAGTGGGCAGACTGGTAAAGCAGGGGCTTACAGCGGAAAATCGCGGCGATATCATCACTAGGCAACGCGGAAGGGAACATGAATTTATGGAAACAATCGAACTGAAGTTACTCAATCTTACTCGACTGCTTCTTCTACCTCTCGTAGATCAGCGGGTCAGAGACCGCAAGGAGGATGACTAGCATTTTAAGTTCATGCAGTCTATATGAAACTAGGACACATCTGCAGGCTTCGACTTATATCACAGCTCAAAGATGGGGATGATTTTCAGAAGTAAAGCGAAGGGATAGGCGTTGAAATGCCTCCGCAACTTTGAACCACAGGTGCGTGCGTGGCGCATCTCAAAGCAGGACTTGTTGGAGCAATTGCTTCAAATTCTATCCAACACGAGCGGAAAGATTGTTTTGGACGATGCTCCGAATCCTTACTTGTTAGGAATAAGAGCAAGAATGTTCAATACATGGAAGAATTGATTTCACGGTGAAGCTGAAGACTGATGGTTGTTGCTGAAGCCAAATTTCTGAAGGAAACTTCTCCAAACACTGACGATAGCCTTTGCATCTGCACAGCGGCTGCCGTCAGTGGGTTAAAGGGCAAAGCGAATGGAAAGAAATTGTGTAGAGAATGCAAAAATATCAAAATGGTATACTTACCTTTATAGAAACTAAAGGCTGTGGACGAACGCGGCGGAATGTATCGAGGAGGTGATCTCTGAGAAAAAGTGATGTTCGTGAAATTTGCATAGGAATAATTCGAACTATTTGACTCGATCCTTCAGAGATTACAATAACAAAAGATATCAAATCTAGGTAATCTAGAATTTGCTATATGCTGTAATCTGAAAATATTTCCCCACACAAATTGTCAACCATTTCTGGATCGTTTCCTTTTTACAAAGTTTTAGGAATTTTTCTCAGAATGGCTGTTTGGATGAGAAGCAGATAGGACTATTTCAGTGGCGTTTGGGTTTCATTTTTAACAAACTTCAGAGCTACGAGATCCAAAGGCATAATCTCCAGCAATGCATTCATAAGTGTGCAGCAATTGTTTGCTCTACATCTTGCAACGTTCCGGAAGAGACATTACGAGGCTAGGTTATTAGTATAAAACCTCCCTGAATGAGTCAGACAATTCCCACACATCTACCTGTGTCCACGTTTTCCAGCGTGTCTTTGACTTAATACTTCTCGTCTCCGAGTTTATTCTCTCATATCGGTGGCCAGTAGCTGCGAGACTAGTCCATCTTTCGGGGAAACTGGGTTTTCAATCCCGTGTTTTCCGCGATCCTTTTCACGCTAAGTGAGTGGAGTATCTGCTCTTCTTACAGCTTCTTATTTGAGCCAAACTGCCGCGAGCTTACTGAACTACTAAACGCAGAATTAGCTTGAAATTACTGATTGTATTTCAAAAATGTGGTTAAGTGACACACCTAATCAACCAAGGTGGAAATCGTCGAGGAGTCGTCAACGGCTCGTCGCAGATTTTTGCCTGTTCAGTCACGCTCTCGCGCGCAAACATTCACTGTCGCCACGCGCGATCCGTCTGTACTCTCCACGTGTACATTCCCTCTCAACAGTGTTCTCACACAGGACAGAGCCATGGTCGAGGAATTCTTAAGACCGCTTATTTTCGCTACCTTCAACTTTCTTCAACGAAGAACACTTGAAAGGACATGGTACGGTACAATTTTCGTCGTCAGACATCAAAGCAAAGGGGAAGAGTAGCGGTTGTGAAAAAAGTAAAAAAAATTGGACACGCAAGACGGGATTCTTTTTTTGCCATTTGATTTCCGTTGGGGCTGGATAGCGGCAAAGGAGTGTTTCGCTGCGTGTAAGATCCTATAAGGCTGTTACGGCACGCGGACAAAAATACTCATTTTTTCTGCTTCCTCTGGAGGTCTGGCTCCCTTTATAGCGCGTATTTCTTTATTTATTTCGGTGGACCTCCATGCTTGCCATGTATGTCGGACCATCTGCCGATTTTCATTCTGGTGCTGCTTACGAAAGATGTTATTATGAAAAAACACGCTATTTTAACATGGGAAATGCCATGTTGAGCACTACTGGCCCAAGCAAGTCATAAGCGTCGGGAAAGTTCTTCTGGAAAAATGAAGCGACATCTTCAGGAGTGGACATATTGTCTTCGAATTCGGAGAACGGGGCGAATATAGTCACTGAAAAAAAACGAGTCGGGTCACATATTACACTCATTCTATTTGAAGAAAAACCTGGCAAGAAAGTAAACTCAAAAAATTAGAAAGAGACATTCTGAGAGAGGCGTTTTGCCTACTGGTCGGTTCATCACGTGCTGTAAACGAGAAACGGCATCGAGCGATTCTGTTCCCACTGATCGGATAAGCGTCGGATGCTAAGCCGTTTTAAACCTCTGAACGCGCCCTAACTCTTAGCGATAGGAGGGATCAATCCCTTTGTCAAATGTGTCCTATTTGGGCTAAGCATCCGACTTTCGTTCGGTTATTGGCGAGGCGGAAGTGTAATTGGAATACGGGAAGCAGTAGATGGTAAGCGACAACTTCATTTAGTAGAGAACCGGTTAATTCGAAAAGGAAATCCCACGACCCACCATACGATGTCGGCAACCCCCCCCCCTACGTCTACTGTACCCCTCTCTCCACTAAAAAGTGTTTACTGGAAGAAGCCAAGCCTAAAGATTGCGTCGAATCTAGCATTTTACTTCACCTGCCTTATCGTTGGCGCAGCAGCTGATTATTTATCAACACCCTATCACTGTTGAGTCTTACTGCCATGCATGCTACCATGTTGGCTTATTATGAGCTACTACCAATCGTCAGTGGACAGCAAATACAGGACGACCTCATCTCGCACTCCACTTTTCATACCTGTGAACGTTTTATCACGGTTCGCCAACGCTATCAGTGTGAGTTGACCTCTTGGCCATACATGGAACACATTTGGCTCGAGTGCATACTGAAATCCAAACTATACTGAGGATCTGCCTGATCATTTCAAACAAGCTCTAGAACTATCACGTACATCACCATTTTTTGGCAGAATATTCAACTCGATGTAGCCATGTCCGATGTACTCTTGTGAATAGTCAAATCTGAAGTATCAGCATGAAAATAGGAGAAAGCTTCTTTGTTAATTACAACGATCAAATTTTGAACGGTAATAGTTTTGTTACAAAGTACTATCATAGACTGTTCAGCAAATTCCTGTGCAAAGGGTGTGGATAAGAAAATCGAGACACCAAAAGCGGAAAGAGAAATATAGTAGTTGCAGGCGTTATTAAGGAATCCTTCGCGGAAAATTCTTGCATTCTTTCTTGACATGAATGTGTCAGTTGTGATCACTGGAAACAGCACACAAAGTTTCACGCATGAAGATTCGGTTTCCGAAGAGAAACAAACGTACAAAAAACACTCTATGGACAATCGAAGGTAATTCGGGCGGAGCCAAAGGCGAGGCATGGAAAGAAGTTGGCCTTTGGCCGGCTACGTATCAGGCGACGCAATGAAAGAATCGGGTTAAAGCGCGCGATTTTGGAGAGTAGAGACAAATCGATCGATAGAATAGGATGGAGTAGAAGTGTGAGATGTGAATGCAATAAGCAGAAGGCCAGAAAGAGTTTCTAGTGAAGGCACTCCAAGAACCAAGTGGAAGCATCCCCGTCGCCAGCATTTGTGAAAGACGTCCGTGGGCACTTTGAACGCGTAGCAGCCCTTTCGATTTTTCGAATTTTTTACAAAACAAAAGCAGTTTCACAAGAATGCTTGGTGTGACAAAAACTTCGCCCCAGACACAACCCAGCATTCGTGTGAAACATTCGCAAGGCGAACTGCGGCCAAAACAGCAGTTAACAATCAAAAACAACACAAAAGCAGTATTTTTGTTCTCTTCATTATTATCGTGGATAATAAGTCTCAAGCTAGTGATTTATGGCTGTAGTAAAGTCATGATTTTTCCGTGAAGGTTCCTATAATGAGTTAGCGCCTGAACCCATGAAGTTGACCTGCTTTCCCCACAGGCAATTTTCCCGCTTTTCTCGCATTTTTATCGTCGAGACAAGCCCTCCCATGGCAAGAAGCCTACAATCTATGTGCCATGTGAGATATTTTTCTATCCCTTTCTAGAAATCACTCGCCTTGGCTGAGTAGTGAGACATCGCCTCACAGCTGAATATGCTCCATCGCAAGCGACAACCAAGTCAGGCTTCACGATGATATCGGTTCCTTTCATGCTGAAACCTTCAAAATAAGCTGAATGAAATTGAATTTTCCAAATATGCCTTCTCACCTGCTTGCAGACTGTCCCGGCTTAGGTATCTTCGAACCACCAATGCTAAATGTACATATAGTTTATGCCCTCTGTAAGGGGTCCGGTGCACCAACCACCCGGCCACGAGTCGCGCGGCTTGAAACAAGAACCCCGGAATAAACGAAAAGAACCAAAGCAATCGTAGATGAAGCCAGTAATAGAGGGTGTCCCAAAATTATGGGTGCCTATACACAGCCAATATATTTTAAGCTTCCAAAAGGATAATGCTAAGTGAACCTATGTGTAATCTCACTCACACCCTGTACACTAGTGTGAAGCAACCAGAGCTAAAAATGCCCCCTCCCCGCTGCCACTTCTCTGCTAGGAATGCAAGTTCAACTCGCTTCTTGGTCTTCTCGCACGTTGCACGCAAGTATTCCTGGTCATTCACTTCCAAGGCTTCATTGCTGCTTTCAGTGACTCAAAACTAGGATGTTGCTAGAACTAGGATCTAGACATCACGACCTTATTTTCGGTCCATCACCTGACTGATCGTGAGAAGTGGACGGTGGCAAGGCGGCGAAGTTTCTACAACCGTCCTGTAAAGTGCACCATACTACTTCTTCTCGATTATCAACCGATGAAATTCAAACTCCATCCTCGTTTCAGGTCTACCGGTAAGAGGTGCTGTCAGGCAATGTCGTAGAACGGAGCGCCCCTGGGCCTACCGTGCCGGGTGATGGTACGCCGTCAGTAAATTTTCAGCTGGTCATTAGAAATAAAATTGCTTACAAGGTCACAGACATTTCTTTCTTGTCCACATCTACCGCTCGTACCTTGTGTTCGAAGAAGAATCTAAAATTATTTAAACTAGCATGAGATCTTCTTAGGTACGTACGATTTGAGTCCAATATCGTATGTACAATTTCGTGATTTCGTGGGCGAAAATTGCTTCTGTCCGTCCATGTCTATCTATAGTCTTATAGCTAACTCGAGTTCCGGGCATATGTGGGTAAAGAAATTTTGCAAATTATTCACAATCATCTTACTTCACTTTTTCATTGCTTTCTGCTTGACTTATGAGCACTTCGTTCAAGTGCCTCCGATTGATCGAGACGATATGCTGAAAGTGTGAAGCAATTTTTTTCGAAAGAAACCAATATAGGGGAGTCAATGCCAGTCATGGAGAAGGACGTTATCTGAGTTTGGAAGTGAAGAAAAACAGCTTTTACCTCTCCAGGCTGTCCGTACGGCTGACGGCTGAATGTTTTCCCGTCGATGTTGTGGACTAGTCGAGCGTACATGGCCACACCTGTAGAGATTCAAAGAGCAGTTCCTCTGAGATTCAGATTGCCATGCCTTGAGTACTTTTTGAGATACTCGCACAAAGCTTCCGGCAGCTACTGGAGGAATTCTTTTTTTTTGCGTGACAATCGAGAATCTGTTCTCTCTGTAGAGTATTATATCAAATGTAGAGAGCGGTCAGTGCTTGACGTTCAGCTTTTTTTTCTCGTTGATGCGTTACCCATGGGATTCCTGTTCGGAGACATTTTAGTGGAGCTTTTGAGAAAAAAAAAAAAAAAAAAAAACCCCCATGTATGCGGTGTTAGTGCAGCTACGAATATGCGACTTGTGACATGCGAAGCAGAGAACAGCAGATGTTCATATCGTCATGGTTTCGACGGTATTGTGCCACGTTGAGCGAGGGATTACGATAAAGTGTGTGTGAAGCATGAAAGTACATGCGCCAGTGGAAGCCATAGTCTAAGGCCTAAGGATGCGACATGTGGCCCTTTTGTGGCCACATGTCGCATCGTCAATTCAACGCTCTGGGGCTGCCAATCCTTTGTGAGCTCCGCCTCCGCCGCCTGTGCTCCGCCCATCAGTGTGTTGCTAGCAGCATCATTGTTCTAATCTTTCAGATAAGGTATCATTAGAGTATTCTCTAAACGGCATATACACTGCGTCCCATAATTATACGTCCACCTAAGAATTTCCCAAAATCTCAGAAATACAGATGTTTCGAAAAAAGTCTCCTATGTGACAATGTATCGCATATAAATACGCAATTGCCTATGAACATCAATTTTCTATTTGAGATCACAGGAATTTTTCCCAATAATTTTTGTGTAAAAGGCCACTCAGCCGACGTCCCAAAATTATACGTCCACCTCACGTTTATCGATTACTTTTCACTTCTGTTCCACGAAACTTTTTCATTGTGGTAACACTTCACTTCTTAAGGGAACAGCATAATAAAGACTGCTGTTGGATTTTGAGAAAGGGAAAAATGTCGCAAAAACTGTTGAACAACGCAATCGCACCAGATTTGGTCCAGATTCACGCCAAGCTTGAGAATTTTTTCAGGGGTTTCACATGATATGGAGTTTAGAAGAGCTCTAAAAGTCTCTCATTACTTTTCGATGGAAACAAAGGCCGTGTTACAGAAAAAACATCCACTTTCATCCAACGGTGCTCTGTCGTCGAATCTTCTTGAGAACTTTATGCCTCAACGGACTTTTGTTTCATGCTTGTAAAAGAATCCCAAGATCATTCTTGATTGGGAAATGTGAAAGACGGTCATTCATGGCAAGCAAGCAGAAAACTGGGCTGATTTTTTGCATGAAGGTGCAGCCGAGCCGACTGGAGCAGGGTCCCTTTCTCCTTGCTATGCATGAGTGTTTGTCTGTCTCTTTCTTTTCAACATTTTCTTTCTTTTAGTAGTGCTTCACTAAGAAAAAAGCCATTAAGGGAAAGGTAAACGTGAGAAGAGAAAACAAACAAATGCCAAAACATATCGGGCAGAAGCGAACCTTACTTCAGTCGGCTCGGCTGCACCTTCATGCAAAAATCAGCCCAGTTTTCGCCACGATTGCTTGCCATGAATGACCGTCTTTCACATTTCCCAATCAAGAATGATCTTGGGAATTCTTTACAAGCATGAAACAAAAGTCCGTTGAGGCATAAAGTTCTCAAGAAGATTCGATGACAGAGCACCGTTGGATGAAAGTGGATGTTTTTTCTGTAACACGGCCTTTGTTTCCATCGAAAAGTAATGAGAGACTTTTAGAGCTCTTCTAAACTCCATATCATGTGAAACCCTGAAAAATTCTCAAGCTTGGCGTGAATCTGGACCAAATCTGGTGCGATTGCGTTGTTCAACAGTTTTTGCGACATTTTTCCCTTTCTCAAAATCCAACAGCAGTCTTTATTATGCTGTTCCCTTAAGAAGTGAAGTGTTACCACAATGAAAAAGTTTCGTGGAACAGAAGTGAAAAGTAATCGATAAACGTGAGGTGGACGTATAATTTTGGGACGTCGGCTGAGTGGCCTTTTACACAAAAATTATTGGGAAAAATTCCTGTGATCTCAAATAGAAAATTGATGTTCATAGGCAATTGCGTATTTATATGCGATACATTGTCACATAGGAGACTTTTTTCGAAACATCTATTATCTGAGATTTTGGGAAATTCTTAGGTGGACGTATAATTATGGGACGCAGTGTATATTAAGCTTCCATGGAATGGGTCATCAAACAATGCATGATCCTTGGTGGCACGATGGTGGCTATTGGCTTAATATGTGAAAACGACCCCATTGTTGTTGCGTCTGTCGAACATTATCAGAGGTCCATGGGCAAAAAGAGGTCTCATTTTGCGCCTTTCAGACGGATTGTTCAAATAACTAGACAGACGTTTGCATTATAGCCATCAAATTATCCCAACGGTTGTTGACGGTGGGAACTCAACACATGTGAATGCATTGCAGCGTAAACATGCACGAGTTCCACGTTGGACCTTCCCAGAAACTCACACCCGGCTCCGCACCTGCCATCCACTCACCTAACAGCACTCCCAGTCCCGTCCATTGACCCAAGCGCGGTCCAGTAATCTAGCATTCTCTGGAACTGTTTTTCTTCGGGATTTCATTCCTTTCGTTTGGAACCTTGCGCATGGTCTTCCACAACCACGCGCAACAAAATTTTACGGGAAAAGAGTGAACAGATTTCCGTTTGACGACCCTTTCAAAGCAATAATTGCAGACTAGATGGGCAGCGGAGTCCTTCTACAAATGCTAATTTTTCTTGACTCCTGACTTTGATTCTTGTGCCGACATTGCGGTTCCCTCGCCCTACTTCTGGTGAAATCTAGTACGAAAGCTCTGCAATTTTTGTGATGCTTTTTTGTGAGTTTTCTCGTAAAACATTCAGTTTTCCAACACAGATCACACATCCTATTGAAGTTGGGAAAATCGTATCATTTGCACATGATTATCAGCTCACAGCTGCAAGTGTTTCACGCTGAATTACGATGATGCCAGACTTTGCGAATCGAGCGATTCGCTAGCTTCCGGGGCCCGTCGCGGACCAGCGAATCGCTCAGATTGGCCTATACCGCAACGCGACCGCGGACGCTAGCGAACTCGCTAATAGCGAAAACTTCTAAAGTACCTTGTTCAACAATGTAATCCTTCAGTCCGACCGCTTCCAGTGCGCATTTTCCTCTTTGTGATAGCGCTAAGTTGATACTGCGGCCTGGCACATGCTCCATTGTTCTTATATCTGAGCAAAATATTTTATAGGAACCGGAAGATAGTGGCTTCATGTGCCTGCACATCAAAACAGGATTGAGTAGGGAAGTTTTTCGAGAAATCAAACCAAGCCATTGCGCAGCACTTTGCTGCAACACAGCAGATCCACGGATATATGATCTTCGAGCTTAAAGCGAAAACGAGTTTCAAAGTTGTCACCTCTTCTGTATTCATATACCTCCACCTCCCAATCCACGTTGAGCGAAGTAGCATGCGTTTAGCGCGCCAACTAGGCCGGCACCGGCTATGGCGACCTTTGGCATCTGGAAATGACTTGAGGTATGTTTGAGTTTCCGAGACCTGTTAGTCCGTAAATGAAAGTGTTAAAGTACGAGGGCCTCGATGATGATATTTATGTACAGATTACAACACGTTCATAAAAATGCTCAGGCAAGGCTAAGCATGGACAAATGCTATCGGTTGGATAAAAGCGAGAACTACTTCTCAGAATTTCGTTCAGTTTCTGAATCTGAGCTTTTTTGTTGCAGTTTGGCAGATTATTAGTCTAGCATGAAAAAAGATTCAGCGTCTAGCCTTATACGAAGAGACAGAGGCTCAAGCTACACATACCCATTATCAAATTCATGCCCACTCTTCAACCGCTGAAACCCTACAAAACCTTTTACGGTGAGGCTAAAAAATTTTGAACGGGAAATGGAAGGCCATGAAACCTCCTTGTTGGTCGCACGTATGCGCAAGTACGCGCAAACAATGAATGATCAACAATACCCACATGACGACGATAAAATACTACACTACAGTGAAAATATAGTGTAATGTCATAGTTCACAAACATCTGACCACATGTGGTAGATAGCGGACGTTAGCGTACACATATCATAGTAGGTATCTTGTCTTGGACACAGATAACACATGATACATACGTAAACCGCATGCTTTAAATTTGAAATTCGACGTTGAATATATGTAACCATACTGATCCCCGTCAACCGCCGGGACCTTCCATTCCTGCGTAAACTTTAGTCTTCCGCTGTGGTTCCTTCGCACCTGTGACACCAACACCTCGTGGAGTGAG